AGAGATATGGTGAACACGGGGGCTACCCACAATTTCGTGTCTAAAGACGAAGCCAACCGTTTGGGCCTAAAGTACACTGGGAGCATAGGATGGCTCAAGATGGTAAATACATAAGCGGTACCACTCCATGGTGTGGCACGAGGGGTCGAGCTACGCTTAGGCACTTGGAAGGGCCAAGTGAACTTTTTAGTCGTTCCCATGGATGACTTTAAGGTCATTTTAGGGTTGGACTTTCTCCGACAGGTAATCGTTATCCCTATGTCTTCCTTTAGTTCAGTTTGTATCTTGGAGAAAGGGTCTCCCTACATGATCCCCACGGTCGAGGCAACGAAAGAGTAAGGTCGAGATGCCAAATAACTCTCGGCCATACAACTTGGTAGAGGCATCAAGAAAGGGGCCATGACTTATTTGGCCATGCTAAAGGAAGATGGCAAGATTGAGAAAACGAATGACCTACCACCAATCATCCATGAAGTCTTAGAGGAGAACAAGGACGTGATGCTGCCCGAGTTACCAAATAAACTTCCACCAAGGCGTGAGGTGAATCACAAGATCGAGTTGGAACCCGGTGCCAAGCCGTTTACCCTAGCACCATATCGAATGGCCCCACCCGAACTTGAAGAACATCGAAGGCAACTCAAGGAGCTAATCTATACGGGAAAGATTCGACCTTCAAAGGCACCGTATGGCGCACCGGTACTCTTCCAGAAGAAGCACGATGGGTCGTTGCGCATGTGTGTCGACTACCGGGCACTTAACAAGGTAACAATTAAGAACCGCTACCCGATTCCTTTGATTGCCGACTTATTTGACAGACTTGGAGGAGCCAAGGTGTACACGAAGATGGACTTGAAAAAAGGCTACTACCAAGTTCAAATTACAGAAGGCGACGAGCCAAAGACCACATGTATCACCCGATATGGATCGTATGAGTGGTTGGTCATGCCCTTTGGTCTAACCAATGCACCGACGATGTTTTGCACGCTTATGAACAAGCTCTTCCAATTGTACTTGGACCAGCTCATGGTGGTGTACTTGGACGATATCGTGGTATATAGTAACTCCATGGAGGAGCTTATAGACCACTTGAGGATTGTGTTCAAAATACTTCGAGAGAACGAGTTGTACGTCAAGAAGGAAAAGTGCACGTTTGCCACTGAGGAAGTACACTTCCTTGGACATGTAATCGGCCACGGGAAGCTATTAATGGACAGGAACAAAATCAAGGCCATAATCGAGTGGGAGCCGCCGATCAAGGTAAGTGAGATGAGGTCCTTCTTTGGTCTAGTAAACTATTATCGTCGGTTTATACAGGGTTATTCGGCACGAGCATCACTATTGATGGACCTACTCAAGAAGGGGAAGGCACGGGAGTGGTCCGAACAATGTCAGAAGGCCTTTGAGGACCTGAAGGCAGCAGTTAGCCAAGAACCTGTCTTGGCCTTACCTGACTTTACCATGTCGTTCGAGGTGCATACCGATGCATCCGACTTCGCTATCGGGGAAGTACTAATGCAAGAGGGACATCTGATAGCATTTGAGAGCCACAAGCTGAACGACACCGAGAGACGGTACACGGTGCAAGAGAAGAAGATGACGACCATCATCCATTGCATGCAGGTGTGGAGACATTACTTACTCGGTGCACACTTCACCATCAAGACCGACAATGTGGCAACGAGTTATTTTCAGACTCATAAGAAGTTGTCACCAAAACAAGCCAGGTGGCAGGACTTCCTAGACGAGTTCGACTATATGTTGGAATACAAGCCTGGCAAAGCCAACGTTGTAGCTGATGCCTTAAGTCGAAAGGCAGAGCTCGCCGTGATCTCTCTAGCCAAGGGAACCGTGTTGGAGCGCATCAAGGAGAGCCTTAAGCAGGATCCAATGACAAGAGAATTAGTAAAGCTGGCTAGCGATGACAAAACCCAACGGTTCTGGGTAGAGGACGGTCTACTCTACACCAAGGGACGGCGAATTTATGTCCCAAAGTGGAACAACTTAAGGCAAGATCTTATCAAAGAGTGCTACGACACCAAGTAGGCTGGTCATCCGGGTCAAAAGCGCACTATGGCATTGCTAGAGACATCATACTTCTGGCCCCATATGAAGGATAACATGGAGCTTTACGTGAAGACTTTTCTTGTGTGCCAACAAGACAAAGTAGAGAACAGACAGCCGGTGGGATTACTCGAACCTTTACCAGTTCCCCAAAGACCTTGGGATTCGATCACCTTGGATTTCATTAGTGCATTACCCAAGTCTGAGGGATACGGTTTGATCATGGTCGTCGTGGACCGATTTTCCAAGTATATGACTTTCATACCATGCCCCAAGGATTGCACCGCAGAGGAGGCCGCGCGAGCGTTCTTCAAGAACGTCGTGAAGCATTGGGCCTTACCAAGCAGCATCATCAGTGATCGAGACCCTCGATTCACCGGACGCCTATGGACGGAATTATTCAAGCTCCTTGGCACCGAGTTAAATTTCTCCACAAGCTTTCACCCTCAAACTGATGGGTAGACCGAACGGGTGAACGCTTTGTTGGAGTGTTACTTATGGCACTTTGTGAGTGCCAACCAGCGAGATTGGGCAAATTTGCTAGACGTCGTCCAATTCTCTTATAACCTGCAGCGGAGTGAAGCCACAGGACGGAGTCCGTTCGAGCTTGCAACCGGACAACAACCGCTCACGCCGCACACATTGACAATGCTACTTGATGAGGGCAAAAGTCTCGGAGCTGCCAAGATGGCTAAGTCATGGGAGGAGAACGCCGACATCGCCCGCGCATGTTTGGAGAAAGCTAGGAAAAAGATAAAGAAGTGGGCGGACGAAAAGAGGCGACATCGAGAGTTCACCATTGGTGACTTAGTCCTTGTGAAGCTTTTGCCACAACAATTCAAAGCTCTCTGAAGCGTTCACAAATGACTAATACGGAGATACGAGGGACCATTCCAGGTACTTGCCAAGGTGGGTAAAGTGTCTTATCGCTTAGACTTGCCAAGTACACTTAAGATTTGTCCGGTCTTCCATGTAAGTATGCTCAAGCCATATCACGCCGACAAGGAAGACCCAAGCCGAGGGTATTCACATCGAGCATCTCCCGTAATAACCAAGTCTTACGATAAAGAGGTTGAAACAGTGCTCACAAGCAGGACAGTCCGCAAGAGAGGAGTTCCACCACGTACCGAGTATTTAATCAAGTGGAAAGGACTACCAGAGTCTGAGGTAACATGGGAACTAGCTGAAGACTTGTGGCAGTTCAAAGAACATCTCAAAGCGTGCGAGGCAACGAGGATGACGCCGAAATAGGTGGGGGAGGATGTCACGAACTTGGGCTTTTTCCCCACACTTTAGGCTATTTTGGCTATGTTGGGCCACATTTGGTCTTGGAGGTTGATAGAATAGTGTAGATTATTCTAGAACACTAAAGACTTGTACATATATAGAGTATTCTAGAAGCATTCTAGAGTCTTCCATATTAGGTAGGAAATTATGGAGAATTATAAAGAGTCTCTCCCTACCATAGGATCAAGTCAATCTCCACTGTCCATTGAGGAGGTGGGATGCTATAAATAGGTTTAGAATCCTCATTTGTAAATCATCCAAGAGTTGTAAGCTTTCAAGCATATCAACAAGCTTTCTTTCAAAGTTCATTCCTTTCTTCTTTGTTTCCTTGCCAATCCTTTCCCACACTAGCACGAGTTTGAGTGAGGCTGACTTAGCTATCGCGAGGGGCGAAAAGGAGCTAAGGCCGCACGAGGCTTATTGAGAGATTAAGTCCGTGACAACGAGCTTTTCCTGTATTAAAGAATATATTGGCGTTAACATCGATAGTCGAAGTTAAATCCAAACAAGAATTAAATTCCAAAGATTGACTTAGGAAATTAGTTCACAGGAGAGAAGAGCAAGTTACAAGGGTTGGGCATTGTAGAATGTAATCGTCAAGAATCCCGAAGTAAAATCTATTTCAAGGATCGAGACAAGTTTAGTCCAAGCGAAGCTAGAGGCTATCTCCTATCATTATCTCTTTCAATTATTTATTTTTATTGCTTTGTTATTTTTATTTAATTGCAGTTTATTCAATTAAATTATATAAATCCCCTTTTTATTTTATTTTGCAGATTTTCTGGTTAGAGATCAAATCCGAATTAATTGGAAATTCCTTAGTCCATGTGGATCGACCATATTTCTCTATATTATTCTATTTTATTTATTTATTTTATTTATTTAAATTGAGAATTAAGTTTATTTATTTGACAATTACGATGTTTGTCATTGTTTGAGTCAATGATCTTTAAAAGTAAAATTGAGTACGAAAATAATTTAATCTAATTGCTATCGGACGGGAGTTTTTTAACCGTGCCTTTGGGATTGATCACTACATTAGATGCTTCTGTAGATTTTGTAAATATGGTGTTCTAATATAATTTAATCGTTTTGGTGGTTAATTCTATCGATAATAATGTCCGGGTGTGTCTTTAATCGAGAACGAGTACGAAAAATCCCTTTGTATTATTCTATCAACCTCAAGGTGAATACCTTATGTATTGAAAGAAGTTCATACCTACAATTTTCCAAAATAATTTCTGTTACCTAACTCTAAGTCATTGAACTAAACTCAATATTTTGATCAAAATTTTAGTGTTGTAGTTATTTGTGTATACTTTGAAAGAGAAGCCACCCGACTGGAAATTACGATAGTTGAGCCCTTGAACCCCAATTTGTGAATTTTGAAGTATCATAAATTGTAGCCTAAAAGTTTTACATATGTTTCATTGGAATATTCCGGCACGAGTCGTCAACCATTGGATTTTGAAATATATATATGTAAATCACTTGTTCTAAACTCGACTGAAACCAGAAATTGTTTAAATTCCGATTGATCACTTCGATATTTTGAAACCGTAAGACAGAGAATTTTATTCGTATACAACATCAGAACTTGTCCCAAGCTTTTAAATACGTGCATAATTTCTTTTACAATAGTTAGAGTCTTTTCTGATCTAATTGTAATTGTAAAGCTTGCGAATATTAATTGGAAAGCTAGCGCTTTCATCCCCATCAACCAACTGTTTGGCAATGATAACATTAGCAGCTTCGGTGGGGTGATACGCATCCCAAAACACATACTTGGATCGATCGTCGCATAAAGCTGAAGTGCTGGAGTTGGCGTCGCCTCTCTTAAAGCAAACGAATGGTGGTAAATACCCACCGCAACACGGTTCATCCGCATTCTCAAATCCTACAAATGTCCTACCACATTAAACTTAGCAACAGTAAGGAAGTATGTGCAGGTAACAATTACGAGTTACTAACCAAATCCGCGATAGTTAGCTAAGATGTCCATGAAAACATCATAGGAGTTTGCAAAGACGAAGATGGCATCAGGTCCCATCTCCTGATTTAAACGATTCAAAAGCTTTTTTAATCTCTGATTATAGGCTTGTATCAATGCATTCACCCTACTCGAGCATTTTCCACTCGGCAATAGATTGAATGCTCGAACAAACGGTATGCAACCGAGCGGTCCGACCCCGACAATGATAAACTTTCTAGCCCCCATCTCATGCAGTCGCTACCCAAAATAATACGAAATAGTTCGAGTTAGTACAGTGACATTATAAACCAAGTGACAACAATGTATTGTTATGGTTATATATATTGTTACCTCAAGTTGAAGTGTGAGGTTAGAAATCATGAAATCTAGGAATGTTGTGGGGAAGACCTTTTCATGTCCCAAAAACGGTATGGATGGTTGGACATAGTTTAATATATCATTGGACCCAATGGTGAGAGAGAAGACTGCCTTCTTTAAAATTTCCCTTGTGCCATTTTCACCCATCGCACTCACCATATAATTTCGATTTTGCTCGAAGTTATTCACTTGTTCCCCGAGAGGGATTCTCCCGATCTGCATACATTACATTAATTCTACTTTAACTTGAAAAAAAAAAAACCCCACAATGAATGTATTATTGAACTCACAAAGAAAAACCCAGTTTTATCCATGATTCCAGAGGCCCCAGAAGCATAATTTATTCCCTTGAGAATCGTCTCAGATTCAGTGTTTGGGGCCAAATAAGGTGGCGGATATGATTTGGCTCCAAGGGATTGACCTGATTCATCATCCAAAATCAAACAACATCGAAACATCTACTAATCAATTTAGATTTCGAAAATGTAGGCGAAATAATTATACAATTTACACGTATGTTATTATGTACCTACAATGTCGGCTATTGTTCTGCCATTTGTAAATCTTCCGGTGGGTTGGCCACGGGAAGGCTTAAAGTCGATACCGTAAGGAGGGGAATCAGCCTTGGCCAGGGTGAAAATATAATCGTTGTTTCCGGCATCGACCAATGAGTCACCGAACACGAAAGTGGTGAAATTACTGAAACTTGGGACTGCATGCAAGGAGAGAAGGACGGGTATCAACAGGGAAAAAGGCTTGAAATTAGTATTGTCGAAAATCCCCATTTTGCATTGAAGTGCCATTGTTACTTTGCAATGATTAAATAAAATCGAACCGGTTGTGTACTTGCAGATTTTATTACGTATGTAAATATATTGCTTAAAGAAGGAGCTCAGTATTGTCATTGGGGGCAGGTATGATTTTGAGCTGGTCGTGTAAGATTAGGTTGTGGTAAAAAAAAAACTTATTCGAGTAAAAATTTTCTACCAGTTGATAATAATGTACACGCCTTATAAATTACGTTGTTCAAACTCTTAAAAGTAAGTCTATTTTAAACAATAATCATAAGAGATTCATTAGGATAATTAATGAAAAATGATTATTAAGTTAGAAAACCTAAAAAGGTTAAAATCAGGACATGTTGAAGGGTTCAAAAGTTGGCAAAAAGTACACCAAACAAACCCTTTTATGTTACTTCTACTACATGATAATTATTACACTGTTTACTTTAATATTTAAACATAACTTTTTCATCCCGACACCATTATTATTATTATTATTATTATTATTATTATTATTATTATTATTATTATTATTATTATTATTATTATTATTAATGTTATTATTAATGGGTTTTCAGGTTACAACCGACTCAGAACCCATTACACCTACAACCCAAGTTACCTAACCGGAACCTGGCCCAGATAAAATTTAAACCCGTTAGGGTTTTCACCCTTACTCAGCTGCCGTCACACAATCACAATCGTTGGATCTTGGAGAGATCCAACGACCCCGATCACCCCAGATCAGCTGTACCCTAGCCCTGTCACTGTCGCTGCTTCCACCAACCACACGCCAGTAGCCATGCAAAGCAATCACAACATGCCACTCCAACTCCTGCAACAAGTAACCACACGCAAACAATTGTAATCATTTCAATTTTAATGATGAAATTTTTGTAAAATAAGGGTTATAAAACCCGAACACTAGTGTAAGAAAAAGGGTTCCCTTTTTATGGTTTTCCAGAAAACAATACAAGTAAAGCAAAAAAAATATTCAAGGAATCCTCTTGTTATTATTTACTTTCGGTTTTCGAAAAAAAGCATAATAAATAAGAAAAAACGAGGCTTGCATGAAATAAAAAGGGAAGGGAGCAGATCTAGTTACCTGGGGAAAGTTGAACCGTATGACCGATTCATCTTCGTCACGGCCGGAGTGTGAGAGAATCGAAGGGTCGAACTCTTTTCAGGGTCTTTAGGAGTCATGTTTGGTGATTTTAGCCTTAGATCTAGGCTTAGGAAGGTAGATCAGAGAATAAGAAACATTTTGGGTCAATTTAGGAGTTCCAACCGCCGTATATGCCGGCTTGAACGGTGGTCGGGTGACGTTGTAGAGCGGCTGGCAGTAGACCGGCTAAAGAAAAGAAGAGAGAAAAGAGAGATTTTTTGGTTTTTTTTAGAATTCGGTTTAAAATGAAAAAAAAAAGAAAAAGGTATTTATAGGGTAACTTTAGGGAAAATCGAGCTTAGGTCCCCCTAACTCTAGCTTATTTTTACAAAATGGTCATATGTAAGGATTAAATCTCTATTTACCCATTTTTATGTATGCTTTATAATTTTTGGGATATTTGCTATTTAGTCTCCTGTAGTTTAGCGTGTTTTTGTATGTTAGTCACCTGTAGGGACCAAACGTGATATTCACCCATTTTTTGCATGTTATATATTTGTAGGGTTATTTGCTTCTTAGTCCCTCTATGTTTAGCGTGTTTTTAAATTTTGGTCATATGTAGTGACTGTTTAATTTTTTAAATGTTTCTGGACTGATTAGGAAATTTACCCATTTTTCTTTAAAAGCATGTTTTAGGCTAGAAAAAAAATATATAATTATGAAATGGTCCATGTAGTTTGAACATGTTTATATTTCGAACTGTAATCTATATTTTTATTTAATTTAATTTAGCCATGCAATTTTATTTTATTTTAATTTGGTCCCCACGTTTTATTTATTTTTACCCTTTGTAATTTTAGCACTTAATATTAAAAATATTCATTGTAGTCACTTTTGCACTTTATTTTTTTTTAAATTTTTGGCACAATGATTTGATTGTTTATATTTTAGTCTTATTTAAATTTAGTTTTATTTTAATTTTGGTATGTTGCTTGTGGGTTATTTCATTTGAGTCATTAATTAGTTTTGCTTGATACCCTCATAAGCATTTCTTGACTTGAATCAAAATAATTTGAGTAAGGATAATATTCGTTCATTTTAATATTGTCTTAAAGTAACTGTCTTATCGTATAATAAAGTTACTTTCGATAATTTTAAAATGAAAGTCTATCTCATTTAGTGACACGAATTAAATTGAATCCATTTTAAAATTTGGGGATTGAGGAAAAGACCCTGTTCTTTTAATTAAGTTCACTGAGAAAAGACTATTAGATCGATGTATTTTGGTAAAAATAATTAATTAATTGTACTTTCTTGATGTATGCTTCTTTTTCGTTTTATTGTTGCATATGTTTTTCAATGGGATTTCAAAAATGTAACACTCGATATTGAAAATAATAATATCTTTTCATTTCGGTTGGAGTAATAAATGATTGGTTTAAGACATAAGAGGTCATTTATTCTCGATTGAATATAATTAGATATTACCGTTTTCTCCCGAATCAATATTGATTTTTAAGACGGAATAATGGCATATCTTCATTTCGATTGGAGTAATAAATAAATGTTTTAAGACATGAGATGTCATTTATTCTCGATTGGAAATCATTAGATATTATCGTTTTCACTATAATCAATATTGAATTTTAAGACAAAATAGTGATATCTTTTCATTTTGATCGGAGTAATAAATGATTGCTTTAAGGCCTGAGAGGTCATTTATTCTCGATTGGAAATAATTAGATATTATCGTTTTTTCTTAAAATTATTTTGTGTTGTTATTTTGAATTAATATTGAACTTTATGGTGTAATTATAATATTTCCGTATTTCAAGTGGAGTAGGAATCAACTACTTTAAGGCATGAGAGGTCGATTCTTCGCGATAGGAAATAATTAAATATTATTATTGTGTTTCATCCTAAAATTCATAGAATATTATGAGTATGGGATCTTAAATTAAACTAGACTCTAATTCTTAAATTGTATTGCAAAGACAACTAATTAATCGACTAGGTACTGATTTAGGGCAATGTGGGGTGCTAATCCTTCCCCACACATAACCGACTACCGAACTCAAATTTTGGTAATGTAGACTGCAAATTTGTTGTTTTAATTAAGATTAATATCTTTATTAAAATGACAAATACTTTTTGGGTGCCTAATCGCACCCTAATCAAAGGTTGATGGCGACTCATCGAATCACACTTTATTATTAACGAGTCACTAAATTGTTCGAAAATGAGACCACTTTAAAAAATCATTTCGACGCCTTGGTAACTCTAGTGAAGAAGTCTATGAAGCTTGAACAAATGGAAGATTTCAAAAGAACTGAAATAGAAGTGTTCTAACAAGTCTAGTAATTGATTATGCTAATTGCATCATTTTGTCCACATCCGATTAAAATACCAAGCCAAGAAAGAGAGGCGTGTTATAATGTTCACAAGGACCGAGGAAGAAATGACATCTTTGATGAATGAAACCCTAGAAAATAGGAAGCCAACCTGAAGCCAACCCATCAATTTTGACACTTGTCTAAGAGTTATAACTTTGAAAATATTAAAAGAGCTATTGATTCTTTTGATATTCTGTGAATTCATGTTTATGATTTGCTTCAATTGTGAGCCTGAATTAAGGGGTAATACTTTAAAAAATTCTTTCGTTCTTTGATTTCTAAAATAAAAGAAAGGAGAAAAACATTTTCAAACAGGACCATCTCAAATACAAAAGGTCCTTGAAGCGGGTGAGGCCCATTCTACCTCTATTGGAGAAAAAGAATAAACAATGCCAGAATAATGAAGCATTCCACAATATTGAAAGCAAATAGTCTGAGAGATCATAAGGACATGAGGATAGAACTTGTAGCATTTCCTTGTGACGTTGTCGATAACCTGTCGAGTAGCAGATGATATCCTTATTTGAAAGGGGCTCACATCCCAGCTTGTAACAAAAATGCAAGAGTGAGACTAATCAAGGATAAAAATTTGGCACCCAAATATGGATGAGCCATGAAAATATCCACTTTGGGGCATGACCAAAAAAACTAGATCATGTCGAGATAACAAGGTACAGATCGAAAAGACATTAAGAATGAGCCTCATAACTTGGAGTGTCAGGGGTAGACCATGAATTTGAGAAGAAATTACCTTGTAGATCAAACCAGGTGAGCATCAATTAACTATAGAGTCCTGAAAAGACAATTCTAATAGAGCAATTAAGTCAAGGATAGAAAAGGGCATCAAAGTCATATTCCTGACCGCAACAAGAATTTGAGAAATGAAACATTTCTTCTCAGACTTTAACGCATGTAAGAGGCAAAGAAGACACAAAGACATAAGATGATCAGATGGCTCTTCAAAAATGCAAGCTTGAAATTATGAGTTGCTACACTGATATCTGAGTAAACCCTAAAGAAGAGTGATCAAGTGGAAGAAGACCTAGTTCTCCACTTTGGAGTCAAAGGAAAATTAAATTAACATGTATGCATGCATGAGAACATCATTTACATAAAAGAAAATGCACTACATTGCATTCGCATTTTAAACATAAACATATGGTTTTTACAGATCTTTCAATAATAAGAAAAGATTCATGATATCAAAATCCCAACAAGTGGAAGCTAAAATTCAAACCTCAAATGAAGGGAATCATGCACTACAACAAATTTATCATTTGTGACGAAATTTCTATATGACATTGTGAATAATGTCACAAAATATACTATAAATGTGACAATTATCTGTTTTCATCATATTTAGTGATTAATGATATATCATTTATGACAATTTAAAAAAGGTCATTGATTTTCATCACTATATGTTTGTAGCCAAATTTTTGCCTCAATTTTTTTTTTGAAAATACATGATTAATGCAAATTTTTTATTCATTGTTATATGTCTTGTTTTTATATGATGATTTGAAAATACATATTATGTTTGTCAATTATTTTTTAGTGCCAATAATTAACATAAAAATTTTGTCAAAAATTTTTAGTGACATGTTGGATTTGTCAGTATTTCAAAATTTTATTAGTGGCAAGATTTAATATATTTTTAGATTTTAAACTCGTAATTTTAATTGCTCCTATTAATTTTTTTAAAATTGTGTGCTCAATAAATATTTTATATATGTATATAGATTTAAGATTTATATATATAACTTAAGAATTCAAAAATCTCAAACCATATGAAATAAAATTAATCCAATATTTAAATTTTGTTGCACCCAAGTACGCCTTTACACTAAGAAATTAAATTAAATAAGCCATTATATTGTAAAAGTATATTAAATAAATCTTTTTGAACAATTTTGACCTATAAGTATTAATATTTTAAAGTTATTTTCTATGTGACAACATCAAAGTGAATCATATGCCACTCTTTAGTGATGTCATGTGGTGTTTCTAGATTTTTTAAAATTTAATTTTAAAAATATTTAAAAATCTTTAAAATAAAAAATTATGAAAAGATTTTAAATAATATTTTAAAAGTATAACAAATAAATTACTTATTTTTCTAAAAACTTTCAAAATTTATTTAAAAAAATAAAAACATTAAATGATATTAAAATTATAATAAATATTAAAAATTTAAGAAATATGAAAAACGTTTGAAAAATATTATATAACTATCTAAAATATGGAATTATTTTTTAAAATCTTGAAATTTATTAAAAATTTAAAATATTATTAAAATTGTAAAAAAAGGATTTATTTTTCAAATATAAAATATCACGTAATTATTTTAAAAATTGTTATAAAATGTTAAATAACTATTTAATTTTCCTGTTATTAATGTGGGCTAACATTTAGGTATATGTTATATTGAAAAATTAAATGATTTTGCAACTTAGGTGGCGTTTGGTTCGTTGGAATGTTTATGAGGGAATTGGAATTTGTTCAGGAATTGGAATCTGTCAGGAATTGGAATCCAATTCCAAATTCTGTTTGGTTGGCAAGAATTGAATTGGAATCCAATTTCATATTATGTTTGGTTCGCAAATATGTCAGATGAATTTGATTTCAGTAATGTAAAATGATAGGATTGTCCTTATTTTTTTGCTTAATTTTAGTTTGTTTTATAAATTACATGTAGCAATATATTATAAAAATTTAAAAAAAATAAATTTTAATTTTATTGATTGATTATTTATATCAATAAATTATAAAAATCATGCTAATAAACATCATAAGTTAAAATCATCCCAATTAGGGATGGCCATGGGTCGGGTTGGGTAGGGTTTTTGGTCCACCCAACCCTACCCGAGAACAAGGGAACCTCTATCCGAGACCCAACCCGAACAAAATAAAGTTTCACCCGACCCAACCCGAATATATGAATTAGAAACCCGACCCGAAATAATAAAAAATATTTTTATTCAATAAAAACAGTGACTTAATTGAAAATATATATATAGAGAGGGGTATTATTGTAATTATTCCTAAATATATAAGGTAAAATTATATATTTTTTGGGTCGGGTATTTTTCACCCTAAACCCGAACCTGACTCGAGCCGAATATCACACTCAAAAAACTGACCTGACCCGACCAAAATAAAGTTTCACCCGAACCGACCCGAATATATGAATTAGAAATCCGACCTGACCCGAAATAATAAAAAAATTATTTTTATTCAATAAAAACAGTGGCTTAATTGAAAAAAAAATTATATATAGAGGGGTATTATTATAATTATTCCTAAATATATAAGGTAAAATTATATATATTTTCGGGTCGGGTATTTTTCACCCTAAACCCGAACTCGACCCGACCCGAATATCACACTTAAAAAAACTGACCCGACCCGACCAAAATAAAGTTTCACCGACCCGACCCAAATATATGAATTAGAAACCCGACCCGAAATAATAAAAATATTTTTTATTCAATATATGAATAAGTTACCAAAAGATTGATGAGGGTAGTATGGTCAAATTTCAATTCCCTTTAACAAGGGAATTGAATTCGATCATAGAATGGATGGAATTCACTTTCCCTCATTTGATGGAAAGTTGAAGAAATAAGAGATTCTAATTCCCTTGGAAAACTTGAATCAAACATGAGAAAGTGGTGGAATTGGATTTCAATTCCCCCTAATTCCAAGGGATTCATGCGAACCAAACGCCACCTAAGAAAAATATGTATTATTATCTTAATATAAATTGTGTACAATGATTTTTCTAAATTATATATTTATAGACAAAATGAATAAATATTATATAGAATTTTAATCCTAACTGATATTAAAGTCCTAATAAAAAAGTATAGTCCTACTTAGTACATAGTTTTCTAATCATATTAGTTTTTCAATAGCAATTTAGTTTTTCGTTATTATTTACCAATTTTTTTTTTAAATTTTTTTTAGTAGTCTAGGACGATTATAAGGTAGTGTATGTTCATAATCTTTTTTAATCATTGGCAATACATATACACCCTATAAATATAAGTATTCGAACTCAGAATCTCCAAAAAAAAAATCATTCACTTTATTTAATTACTAAGATCATTTAATAAATTTAGTTTTATCCCGCCAAAAACAACAAGGGTATTTAATTATGGGGCAGAGGCTCCATCATTTTGGATGCCTAGTGAGCATGCCATATAAACTCATAATTTTGAATTATAAGTTGGTTCCCTTAATGGGATGCTCCTCATTATGTCAGTTCTCCAAAATTACTAAACATTGTTCATATCTAATCGAGTTTTTTTTTTCGAAAAAATAATTCAAAGTTCTTCAAAAATACTAAATATTATTCATATCGTATTGTCTAAATGTTTTTTTTAATAATTTAAGGTGATTATAAAATAAATCTTTCTTAACTATTAATAATACATACTCACTTTACAGATGTAGTTGTCCAAACCCAAAATTTTTAAAGAGGACAATATTCCTTTAATCACCGAAGTCGCTTGATATATTCATAGGTAAGGCTAAATTTAAATTTAAATTTAAATCAAGGATTAATTAAGATGATTAGTTACTAATTTAGTATAGTAAACTCTTATTCTTAAACCCCTAGCATTGTTCGTCTTTAATTATTATGCTTTCTACATCCTTCACATGTGTAATAATAACTAGGCGTTGACAAACCCAATCAACGTTAATCAAAACAGTCTCTAAGCTACCACATTTTCTAATATAATTTAAATTCAACCAAATCAAATAAAATTTCTTCTAACTAACAAACAATTGGTTTAATGGGAGGAGACACTAGATCTTTTAAGTAAGGTCATGGCAAATGGAGTAAATTATATTAGGAGGGTCGCCCTCGTCTCTATAATACCTAATCTAAATTAGTCGATCAATAGATAGAATACTGATGGTTATAAAAAAATTCCCTAGATAAATTAAGCAATAATCATTGCATGAAAAAAATACAAGATTGAGATGGAAAAAAAGGTATTTCACTTCAGTTTCTTGATATAATCCTTATAGGTACAATATTAAAAATGTAAATATAATTTTATTATTGATTAAGTTTATTCGTTCCGTACTATTTGTTAATATAATATATAAGATGATATAATATCAAGTATATTCAAATATTTAATATTTTTTATTTATAAGTGGTTCAAATGGTTAAATGAATTGGATTTTATTGCATTTAGGGATTGAGAACTGATTTTTCCTATTTTACAATAATAATGGATTAATAAAATTCTTAAGATATCTCTATCTATAATTTAAAGAAAAATAAAAATCAACTCTCTAGAACAACTTTTGCCAAAATTTTCAAGGATTCATAAGATTATGCAATTAAGATAAGGTAAGGTCCAACATTTTTGGGATTAAATAATTATTAATTTTTCTTATTTAGATTATGATTCACTTATAAAATGTTTTTTATTAATTTAACATAAATTTAAGACTGTTGAATGAGTGAATATAGATGACATAAATTAACTCCATATTTTTATTATCAGTAAATATTTTCTCATTTTTTACGATAATAACAACAATCTATTTTCACTCATAAATCCTCTACAATAGAATCATATCCGGTTCATTTTTATTTGATCTTCCATAATATAATATTGATAAGTATTATATTACCAAACTTACCCTTCACCCTTTGGTGTATTTGCCTTTGAATTGAATGTGGACCGGGTCTATAAATCAAACCACCTTGCGCAGTTCTTTCCACCAAAATTCTTTATAGAAAAAAGAAAAGAAAAGAAAAAAAGACATGAATTCCATGGTCAGCTCCGTTTGCTTGATCGTCTTCCTCCTCTTCTTCACCATATCTCACGCTGGAGCCGCTCGGCCGGAGCCCACTGCATCTCAAGTTCAGCATCCGAATACCCCAATCAAAACTCCAAATCCGGTATGTATGCTTAACTTCTTCCTTTTCAAAGAGTACACGCAAAAAAAAAACAGTTTTTTTAAAGCAAATCTGCTTCAATCAAGCCACTTTTTCCTTTCATTTTGATTCGGTTCATAAAACTCATTAAATGAATGGGTAAGAATCATGTTTTTAAATTTTCTGATGAATTGTTTGTTAAACAATATTTCCAGGATACTGAAACAGAGAGGGTTGAAGTGGATGATATCTGCCGAGGAATTAAAGAAGAAGAAGAAGAGTGTTTCATGAGAACAACACTTGCAGCTCACGTCGATTACATCTACACCCAGAAGACCAATCCTTGACTCATAGCCTCTCTCTCTTCTTCATAGATTCGTATCATGTTGTTTTCAGCTTCAGGAGAGGTTTTTAGTTGATAACGATAGAGGGTAAACTACGTATTTAGTCAACCAATTATTTTTACGGTTTCATTTTGATCATCAAATTATTTCTTTTTTAAAATCATATTTAAAATTATGTTTTTGTCATCCCCCGTTAAAAAACAAACAAAACTACTAACTTGACAATTTTCTTATTTTTTTTCAATGATAAACCTTATAGTAATATATTAACATCACCGTTAAATTTTTAACGGCGAGTGATCAAAACGAAACTAAAGCGTAATTTTAAGTACGATTCAAAAAAAATAGTTATCAAAATAGAACTATAAAAATAGTGATCTAAACTTTATATATGCAAAGATTTCATGCACAAATTCAGAAGAGAAGACATATTAAGGACACAAATAAGGAAATAATAATAATAATAATAATAATAATTACAGAGATGTTGATTAAATTTTAATTCAGTTTTATTATTATGTTTAGTATATTTTAAATTTAAATGTAATTATTTTTAATTTAAAATTAAAAAAAAAGAGTTATAATTATCCCTTTCAATTACCTCAAGAGAGCAATAATAGAGAAAAAGGCTTTTCCAAAAATATAAAATATTAATGGAAGGAATATGCATATTAATTAAGCAGGCTATAGAGTTTGGTTGACAATCTCGCGTTAACTTTTTTTTATTCTGAAAATTTTAAATTTATAATCTAAATATATTAAGTGATCTATTTAAAATAATATTTGATATTTTTTATTTGTTTTTATAAAATAAAGATAAGATTTTAATATTATTATATGATATATTGTATATAATAAGGTATTTTTAAATGCCACAGATACTTCAAGGGAAAATAACCTCACGGAAAATTATTTCACATCAAGCTTCAATATAAGAATACTTTTTTTCCATTAATCTAAAGAGATTATAAAATAATATTTGTTATAAATATTCTCTATCATTTGACATTTGACATGAACATCCAATTACCATTGTAGTCGCTGATGCTTGAACTCATGATCTCTAGAAACAACAACGATTCTTTAACCACTAAGGTAAGTTGGTTCATGCATATGAAATAACTTGTTGTTTGTTCAATGTAGTGTTAGTTTTCAATCATTTTTTTATAATCATCGATATCTGATTTATTGACCGAATAATTCAGATTAAGAACTACAAAAACAAAAATTATTCTTCCTACTCAATTTACTCCATTCGCAAACTGTAGACACTAAATTTTTCCTTTTTAAATTATTATTATTATTATTAATATCAATTATTATTATTATTATTAAAAAATAATTATAAATTACAAAATCGGAGCCCATTTATAACTAGACCCGGAGGCCCGTTTTACAAATCTCAGAGGCCCAATCCAGTCCAGGCCCAACATAACCCTTCTAGGGTTTCCATCATCTCAACCAGCCGCCAACGATCTCAGCCGTTGGATCTGGCAAGATCCAACGGCCCATACGCATCCAGAATAAACCCTAGGTTTATGATACCCTAGGGACCACGCGGCGCTGCTTCAGCTTCCAGCCGCCCCACGTCTACACTGTCGACGCCTCCACTGCCATATTGTCCAACCAGCCGTTGCCGACGCTGCTGCTGCCACGATGCTGGCCTATCCGAAGCCTCCAGAACTGCCACGAAGCCACACACGTTGTTTCTCTAGGAGTGAGTCACCACTATAGTTTGGTGACTCACCGAAACTTCCCCCTTTGGACTGGTCCAAACCGAACACTATGGTGGCTATAAAAGCCACCATCGAACCTGCAAACAAAGGAGGGATAAGGAGAAAGAACCACAACAAACAACAGAGAAGAACAGCGACAGACAGAAGGCAGAATAAAACCAACAGATAGCAGAAAGAACCACCAACAAGCAACCAACGACAAACATCAACAACATAAAGGAAAAACAGAGGAGAGAAGAGACTTACCGAGAAAACTACGCGATCGTCAGAGCTTCACCGCGGCGTTGAAAAACCGAAATATCTAACGTAAATAACCTTAGATCTACGTCGATATAAGGGGATTTAGGGAAAAAAAAAAGAGGTCAGATTTGGCCTTTAGAGGTTGAAATCTCTAGTTTAGGTAAGTTTGGGATTTTCCGGTGACAGAAATATCTAACGTAAATAACCTTAGATCATTTCTCGCCGGTGACAGAAATTTAGAGAGAGGGAGAGAGAATTTTTCATATCTCTCTTTAAGAGAGAGAATGAAAAAAAAATGGGAAAGATTTGGCCCTAAGGGCCGGATTTTGGGTTTATATACCCCTCTCCAAACAACGTCGTTTTGGGGAGGGGTATCTGTGTAATTTCATAATAGTAAAACTCTTTCCGTAGCCCCTCTAAGTTTGTACTCTTTACAATTTAGTCACTGAAAGCAATTTTTGAATGTTTTAATTTGGTCTTTCAATTTTATTTATTTACAATTTAGTCACTACCTTATTTAGAAATATTTAGGGTAAATAATATGATTAGTCCCTTATAATTTTTATAATTTATATATTAACCCAAATTAATTAAATAAGGCTAAATTACATTATTAGCACTTAGATTTTTTTATTCGAGTTAGAGCCTTTAATTTTAACAATTATTATTTTAATCACTGATTAATAATTAAGGAATAATTACAATATTAGTAATTATATTTTTATAATAATTCGAATTATGTTCATTAGTTTTGATAATTTACATTTTAATCTTGTTTTTTAATTTTATTTAATTACTATTTATTTGCATTTTATTTTTTTATTGTCTTTTATTTTTCAATATATTTAAATTATTACTTTAAATTTTTATTATTATTTTCTTAATAGTCATATAAATATATATATTTGTTTAAACAATAAATTATTTATTTTTAAATACCAAGAAAAGAGCAGTCTTAAAGCAACTAGATGTCCTATTCTGGTATTTTAAAAATAAATAAATATCCTACTTATAAAAAAAATACATATTGTTTTATTTAAATTATTTTCTTAGGAAAAATTATTATTTTTAATATTTATTTATTTTTCAAATATTAAGAAAGGCCATTCTTAAAGCAATTAGATGTCATTTTCTAATGTTTTAAATAAATAAATATTTTATTTATAATTTATAAAAATTATTTAATATCTTTTTCTTCCTTAGAATTATCTGATTAAAATAAGAAATAATAGGATCATAAATTAAATTTATATTCGAATTCTTAAATTCTATTATTAAGAGAATTTATAATCGACAAGGACCAATTTTGGGCGTTGTGAGGTACTAATCATTCCCCAAACGTAATCGACCACAAATCCCTTTTTTTATTAAAAAAAATGAATTTTTGGTTAAACGCAGACCAGTTTATCTTTTAACTGATGTTTTCTTAAAAACTCTTTTAAAATATGATTTTTAGGTATTTGACCTACCTAACCCAAAAAGATCGATGACAACTCCCAAAACATTTTTTAAATCAAAATAATTTTTTATCCATATTATTTTTTGCGCCAAGTAAAATTTCGTGCCCGGACAAAAACCGATTTCGACACAAACGTAAAACATGTAAAATTGTAAAATTTTGTCCTATAGTATCTTAACAAGGAGAAATATGTAAAATTGTAGCCATACAGAGCCTCATCCTTTTATCTGAATATTGAAAAACAAAAACCTGTGGCTGCCTTCTTCCCTTGGAGAAAACAAAGAAGAAAAATGGTGTAACGTTCAACAATGGGTTCAATAGCTCAAAGTGTTTTAATGGCACTGACTGTGACAGTCAACCAATTCGCTTCTTCAAACGTGCATGCGGTTCATAGGAAGCAAGGGAAATCGCCATCCGCCGCTTCTAAACCAAAACCGACCAATACAAGAACAGCATCCGCCATAAGCGGTGGTGGTGACATCGGAATCGCGAGGAGAGGCCTCATTTTATCCGCTGTGGCTTCTGCTCCCCAACTCAGTGATTCCAGAACTGAGCTTCTCAAAAGTATCGTACTTATTTCATCTTCTTGCTTATAAAATAGTCTATTTCTTTGGTTTCGGAATGTGAGAAGGGCTTAATGTGACAGGATATTTGAAGAAATCAGAGGAGAACAAAGCCAAGAATGACAAAGAGGTAGGATTCTGTATTCTGATAATTTAAGTTAATATACTATTTAACTCATTTAACAACTTTAGTAGTAAAAGAGAATGTTTTCCTTAGAAGTATCGGATTAAAACTTTTACGTCTACGTAATATGTGTCGTTAATAATTAAGAAAGATTATGAATAGATAGTGATGTTTGTGTTTAGAGAATGGAGAACTATTACAGGCGAAACTACAAGGATTACTTTGAATTCGTGGAAGGGACATTGAAAGGGAAGAACGAGCAGGAGCTAACTGAAGCAGAAAAGGGAATTCTTGATTGGCTTAAAGCTAATAAATGAGAGATTTATTCAATCTCTCAACATGTGTAGATTCCAGTTAGACATTATGCACTTTAATCATAATCTTCTTATTCTTACTGTATATTGAATTTTATGCAAATTTCTAAAGTACAACTTGTTAACATAGTTAAATACAGTAGCAAAATTTAGTAATAGAGTTTAGGAAGGCTAACTAAGAACTTTTTAAAAAAATAGGGTCTATTTTTTTTAAATGGGGTCCGACTAAAACTTAGTGATAGAGTTTAGAGATTTAAATTAATTTTTCAAAAATTTTGAAGGATTCAATTCATATTTTTTTCAAAAAAGATTAGGGTATGACTAAAATTTTTGAAAATTTGAGAAGCTTAATGAGATTTTTTTTTAAATTATGGGAGAATTTAATTAATAACATTAAAAAAATTTAAAGCTTTATATGAATGTTTAAAAATTTTATGGGAAAATTAAATATTTTAAAAATTTAAGGGCTTAAAAATTAATTTTTCAAATTTTGAGAGAACCATGGCCCCTACCGGTCTGTTCACTGTGCTTCGCCCATGGTTAAAGAACGGCATGAATTGATTGTAATTGAAAATTTTATTAAAAGCGTGATTTTTGTAGGTTGGATAGAATAATATTTTTAATTTGTCGGAACGATTTTTAAGTTTTTTTAGGGTTATGGAGGGAGCGATTCAACTTAATCTTAGAAAATATTGATTTTTTAAATAAATAAATAAATAAATAAATTTGGACTTGCCATCGACCTTCGGCTGAGGTAGGTCGAACACATAAAAAAATATCATTTAAAATAATTTTAAGAAAAATGATTTTAAAAGACAAAAAGTGATGTGTTTAACTAGAAACTCATTTTGAAAAGGGTTCGAGAGTCGATTATGCGTGGGGAATGATTAGCACCCACAACGCCTAAAATCAGTACCTAAGCGATTATACGTCATCTAAATATTGAAATGAGAAAAATTGAAAATACATTTAAATTATTATCCTATTAGAACAAAAATTTTGAAAATGAAATTATTTCGTACGGACCATCTTCAAAAACACACTCATTGCTAGTTATAAGGCGTGTTTTTATGGATTCTCCATACCAAAGATCATTATCTTAAAAAATGGTGTCAATTCGTACTAAGAATCCTTGGGAACACTCTCCTTGCCAGTTAAGGCGTGTTCCCCAGATTTCCTTACGAAATGACATTGCCTCAAATTTTTAAATATATATATTAAACATTTACTCGAATAAAAATATATCATTTTGTACAAATAGTTCTAGGAGACACACATCTTACCACTCAAAACGTATCTCCATAAATTATTCACACAAATTAATAGCGTCTTAAAATGTGAACAAATAATATATATGTAACAAAATACAAGAAAATTCATAAATCATATTCATAACATCAAAATAAATACACATATACATTAATAATATGGGGACAGCCTACTACCCTATCTCCCCCTTACCTCATTACATATGGGAATAGGGTTTTGTTGTTGTTGTAATAATATCATAATATATAAAAAATGTATAACGTACATTAATAATTATTTGTAATATATATAGCTACATATGTATCAAAAATTAATATACAAATGAATATTATACTACTAAGCATTTGAAAAAATATGTAAAATGGGATAAAGTGTACGAAAACAAATTGTAATAGTAAATGATAAAGAATAAAGGGTCAAAATAAATTAAATGCCAAACGATAAACTAAAATTATAAATAGAGGTTGCTCAATGGATTAAATTAAAATAACCTAAAGAATAAAAACATGAATGAGACGAAATGGAAATAAAAATATCGAACATAATGAAAGTTTTGAAAATGTCAATAAAACAAAACAAGAATATTAAAATTAAAATAATACACCAAACATCATATAAGGTTAAGATGGAAAAAATAGGCTACATATCTACATATATATACTATATATGCATATATAATATAAAGTGTGAAAAATTACTTAATATATATATATACAACATATATTATGTTTAAGTAAAAAAACATAATAGGTAACATATAAGCAATTTAAATAATATAATATAAGTCCGACACACACACACACACGTATATAAGGGGAAAAAAGCAATTTTAAGGACCAGAACAATTATTAAACCAAAGTTCCTCAAAGCATTCATGATGATTAAAATGTAAACAGGAATAAACTTGAAGTTCATATCATAACAATCAAAATTTGCACTTAGTGGCTAAATCGAAATGGTTACAAAATCTGAAGAGTAGTGGAGATGGTTTTCTCATGCGCCCAAAACAAAACACACAGCTCCCCTCCCAAAACGACGTCGTCCATGCTTAGGTATATAAACCCAACCCATGGCCGAAAATGACATTGTTTTCTCATTTGTTTCATTTCCATTTTCTTTCTAAAGAGAGAAAACTCTATTCTCTCTGCCTTCTCTCTTTCCCTTCCCCGTCGAGGGAGGCCAAAAGCCTCCATTCGCAGCTCATCAGAGCGCTCTGCCGCCGTACACGGCATTCAGAGTCCTAGAAACTCAACCCAAAACAAAGCTTACTCTTTCTTAATTCTAAAAACAACCTTCCCTCGTCCAAAAAGCTCCCCCACCATCATAGATATAAACGTTTACCTTTGAAATGGAGGTTTCACGACGATGCTTGAATACTCCGATGACAGGAGAGATAAGCTTTTCCTTCATTCTCTCTTTCTTTTTTTCCTCATTTTTCTTTTCGAAACGTGCTCTGAGTTCTCCTGGAAAATCCTTATTTTTCTGTTGTGTTGTTGTATATATCCCTTTAAAACGAGACCCCTTCCCCTTTTTAATATTTATTTCACATGCAAATGGGAGAAATGATCTCTGATTATTTTCTTGTGATTTTTACTTCTTTTGGCTTTGGTGGTCTGTCCGAGGAGGGAGATACGATGAGGAGAGCGCTCTGCAGATGGCGTACATATGAACGGGGTAAAAACATTTACCCCGAGGCTCCCTTTTCAAACTTTTCATGGTGACCGGCGAAAAATCCAGGGACGATGGTAGACCTCAGGATGGTAAAAAGTCATGGGCAAGGCTCTTGGATATGATGCGTGGGCGCGTGTAGAAGTGACCGGCGCGTGGAGACGGCGGGCTTGGAGCGTGGTGGCATATGGGTTTAGGTTAAAACCCTAATCATCTAATGATCATGACCGTTGGATATAGGCATATCCAACAGTTGAGATAAGGTGTGGCTGGAAGCTGTAGCTGGAAACCCTAGGGTTTCGAGTCTTGGGCTTGCTTGTTGGGTTGTAATAATTTTGGCCCGGTTTACTGATGGCTGAAGGACTTAATAATTTTGGAAATAGTTTATTAGGTAAGAAACTTTGGAAACCGTTTTCTTACTTTTTCAAAAATTTCATTTTCTGAAAATATTAAATGAGAAACTTTGAAAATTGCTTTTCTCATTTTTTACAAGCATCATATGAAAACATCATGCCTAAAGGTCTTATAGATGACCCGGATGATTTATCTTCTCACTCGAAATACTGTTAGACAACCTGAATGATTTAATCATCATGCTCGAAAGACTTATTGATAGCTCGAATGACTTACCAGTTATGGAAATAGTCTATTGGGTAAGAAACTTTGGAAATCACTTTCTCATTTTTGAAAACATCATTTGAAAGCATCTTGCCCAAAGGTCTTATAGATGGTCCGAATGACTTATGATCTTGCTCGAAAGACTGACAGATGACTCGAAGGATTTAATCATCATGCTCGAAAGACTTATTGATGGACCAAAGGACTTACCAATTTTGAAAATAGTTTACTAGGTAAGAAACTTTGGAAATTGCTTTCTTACTCTTCAAAATTTCCATTTTCTGAAAATATTAAATGAGGAACTTTGGAAATTGCTTTCTTATTTTTCAAAAATTATCATAAAAACAACTTAATGGTCGAGTAACATGCCCTATTTCGAAGTAATGCTTCTTCTGTAGATTGGGCCCCTCTGTTCTTCAAGTTCTGCCTCTCTAAACATGATTTCCTATATTTGAGGTTTGAATAATAATTTTCACTTGTTATGATTTTGACATCACAAATCTTCTCATTTCATTAGAAGATCTGTAAAAATCATGCATTTATATGTAAAACGCGAATGCAATTAAATGTATCAATTTAATGAATTTTCTAAAACATCCTTAATACCGGGTTAGTGACTAAATTGTAAAGTTTTAGAATTTGATGATTTAAAGTATAATAATTGATTAGTGTAAGGACTTATATGAAATGTTGTGTAGGATCAAATTATAAAGAAGAAAGAATAGAAGGATAAAATGGTCTTTTGCAAGGAAAATAATTAAAGAAGGGATTTATATATATTAGTTCCACGTGGAAGAGAAGAAAGAAAAACAAAGGTTCCAGAGTTCTCTTCTTCTCTTCTTTTCTCCCAAACGTGAAGACTTATAGCAAAGGTGAGATTTTTCATAAACTAATTATTTGCTGAAATTTAAGTTTGGTTTTGCTCCTTAGATGTTAATTAAGCTTAAGGAAAGCTTAATTTGCTTTAAAATAACAAGATAAAGAGTATAGGAAGAATTAAAGATTAGGAGTGCTTGAATGGAATTTTGAAAAAGAGTTCATATTTGGAATCGGAGGTTGAATTTGACTTTTTATCAACTTAATTAAGACATACGAAGTGTTAGAATTAGATTTAGAACATGTTGGAATTTGAGGGAGATTCTTGAAATCTATGTGGAGGATTGAATTTTTAAGTATAAGAGGTATTGAATGGGTATTAATTAGTTTAAGTAGATGTATACAAGTTAAGGAGATAAAAAGATGGGAAATATTAAGTGTTGAGAGGATTATGAAGAGATTTTCGTGCTAAAATAACATTTCTAGGTTGTGTGCATCGATGCACATTCAATGTGTACCGATGCATCAAGGGTAAAATCCCAGAAATTGTTCAAGGTGTATCGATGCACTCTTTTAAAATAAAAACATCAAATGTCATTAGTGTATCAATGCACAAGTAGTGCATCGA